GCTATATTTATGTTCTGAAAAGGTGACTAGAAAAGACTCTCTGTATTCAGTACAACCTTCTTGACCAAAAGAGTCAAAGTCAATAGTGTCAGAAGTATAGATTTTAAAATATATTTAGAACCTTTAATCAAAAGATTCTCAGAATAGCAGAAGAGTTTTTAAAAAACAGATGAACACAGGTGATGTAACAATCCTGTGTTATCATTGATAAAAACTTCTGTAAGATTAAAGCACTGGAGGTTTTTTATGTGAAATTCCTAAATCTTTAAAGAAGTTGAATGTTACAGGTACAAAACTTCAAGTATTCAAGAAAAACATGTTTTACAAAATGCCCCAGTTTCAGTAGAATAAAACAAATAATTCAAGAGCTGTTTGCTCTCCTAAGAATGTAAAATTTCAGTTACAAAATTGCAGGAGTTAATAGGCAATGTTCTTTATGGACAGGTGATTCAGTGACAGCTGAAGCACAGCTCTCTGGGAGGTTTAAATCCTGCAGAGCATCATCATTGTTAGAGGTTGTGCTAATGTGATCTGTATTCATCCACTTGGCCTGTATATTTTCTGTGGCACCGGTTTCCTCCTGGGCACTTGATTTCTGACCTGTAGCTCTTTTTCCTGAGAATAGTAGCGTCAGAAAAGCTTTGAAATGCTTCTAGGTTTGGCTTTAGATGGATCTGATGTAAGGCCTGGGCTCCAACCTATACCCAAATCAGTGCTTCCAGCAGCAGCACATTGTAAGCACTTTGTCTTGGTCATGGAGAGATTCATTTGGATGCCTGAAATGAAATGAAACCAAAAAGTGAAGCTGGTGGGAGCTAAATGCAATGTGTGTAGGTGAACTCTTTAATAATGACATTTCTGATGCTGCTAAAGTCTCAGTCCTTCAAATGTGTTTGCACCTGTCTAGCACAGACCCACAGGGCTGTCCCTCTGCGGGATCCCTGCCTTCGTGTGGCTTGGCTGTTAAAGCTGTGCTGTAAACAAAGCTCAGGTAACAGCCTCTGGCCTGGGCTGTTCAGTGCCCTCCAAAATGGGGATGTCACAAGAGAAGTCAGAACCCAGCTGAACCTCCACTGATGGTTTTAAATCATGATTTCTTGCTTGTAAATGATATTTACCTGAATTACAGCACCAGTCTGTCTGAATTAGGACACAGTACATTTTCATGCTAAACCAGTCCAATGCCAAAGAAAAATATGTGGAAAAAAAAATCTAAATTTGCTATAGTTTATTATACGATAATAAGATTCCATATGGCTTTTTAAAGAATTATTTTATAATGTTAGTTTAAAGCTGAGCTAATTACATCTATATAATGAAGCAAGTATTCATTTTACCTTAAATAAATTAAAACCACTGAACTTTGTTGCCTCTTAAATATTTATTGAATATATGTTCTTTAATTATATCCTCCCATGTGTGAAGACAGGTGACATAAAACTTTTGGATGTACTTAACAGACTATTTTAAATGTGTAACAGAACTGGATTTGATCTCATAATTTAAATATCACTCAACTTCCCTGCAGTCCTTGGAGTTACACCAGAAATTATTTCTGGCTCATGCAGTAGACGATTTTCAAAATCTTAGGATTATTATGAAGAGCTTCCTTCCTCAAGGAAAAAGAGCTACAGTATCTAAAGTAGACACCTAATAATGAAATTCAGCTGAGTTATCTTTTAGTCTATTAATAATATATATTAAGTCTGCTTCCAGTCTCTGAGGTTTTGTGGTATTTATAGCACTTCATCTAAGTGGATTGTATTGATGTAATTTAAATATTTATTGTATATGTATTGATATAACACTAATTAAAAGTTTTTTCTGGTAAGTTAAATGCTTTTTTTTTGGCTATGTTTTTGCTCTTCTGATACTAATCAGTTTTGATAGCAAAAAGCCATATAATACTAAAATAAATATAAATGTAATAGAATTTAAAAAAAAACCCAACAAGACAACAAAAACAGAACCCCCCATTCTAATATTTAAAATAAGATATCTTGTGCAAAAGTATTTCTTGACTCGCATTTTGTCCTTTGCAGGTCCTTTGCCGTTCCTTCAAGCAAGGTAAAAATCAGTGTGCAAAGTCATGGATTATTCAAGACTCACTTTTAACAAACAGGGATTTTGTAAATGAAACAGCTCCAAAACAAGCCATACAAGGTCATTTGTAGAAGAAATTATAGTTGTGGTAGAGCTAGTTTCCAAATAATAGGGAAGATTCATTTTCTTATTGATATAAATGAGGCAGATTTCTGGATTTGTGTTTGTGTCACTGTCTCAGATGTCCCTGCAGGAGGTTAGCTACACCCAAGGAGTGTCTGTATCTCCCAAAGAGCAATGGCTTTCTCAGGAGTGTGCCTCATGGTTCATCTATCAGCACGAGTGAAATACCTGAGGCTCTCACCTCCCCTTTATTGTCAGCCAGTCATACTGGAGTCAAAGCATTTATGCCTTCTGCACAGCGCTGTGCTACTTACTCCATTTTCAGGGAGACCAGAGCATCAATTTCACTGCTGTATCCCATCGTGGATAAACAGTTGGATCAATGATACACAGCTGGTACCTCCAGCTTCTGCTCTGCGCACAAGTGAAAGCAGATTCCATTTGCACATGTTCATTGTCAAACCAGCGAGCTATTATCTGCTTTTTCTCTGTGGCCTCTTCTTTCTTCCTACACAACTCTGAACAGTATGGCACACCATATAAATTATACCTATGCAGGATGCATTTATGAAAGCCAAGCCTGCCACAAGTAGTTTTTTTTTTTTCTTCAGGAAGAACAAATGCATCTCTTCCTCAATTACCTTGACTTTTGGACTATTGGCACTAACTTTTCACATGTTTTCATGACGCAGTGTTGATGTCACTTTTTGAGTGGTTCTAATTTATGTATGTTATTAATATACACATATAGCACTTAGAGTGATACATAAGAAAATAGGTGGAACACTGAGACCTCAGACAGTGACAATGCTGGTTATTATTAGGAGCCTACTGGTAGGCAGTGAGAGCTTAGGGTAGCACTGTTTTTCATTCCCATGTATGTCATCTGTCTAGGTATTGTATTCAGTAATGAGTTTAGATACTACTTGCATATTCTGGTTAGGGACAAAAGAGAATTCTTCATTTGATGAAGATGTAAGGATGATGGTATGAGGAGAAAAATGGAATCACAGGCTGTACTACTTAGCAGTATTACATTGCTGGGATGCAGTGACCTTCAGCAGTATTCACTTTCCTTATTCCAGACAGGGGTAAAGTATGTTCAGGCTCTGCCTATTCCAGTGTTTTCCAGTATTTCCCAGAAATTGTGGAGGACACCGTGGTGTGCTTGTCATTCAGAGAAGCTGGAGGAATGGGGTGACAGGGACTTTATGAAATTCAATGAGGACAAACATGAAGTATTGCATATAGGAAGGAATAATCCCTTGCAACCACAGGGAGCAGCTGTGCTGAGAGGACATGGGGGTCGTGGCAGAGAGCAATCTGAGTGTGGGCCAGCAGCATCCTGGGCTGTATCAACAGGAGCATGGCCAGGAGATGGGGATTACCCCCTCTACTCTGCACAAGCCAGACTGTATTTATACACTAGTCCAGTTCTGGGCTTCCCAATACCTAAAGATCATGGATAAACCAGAGTTCAGCAGATGACCACCATGATGTCTGGGGGTTGGAGCACTTGCTCTGTGAAGAGGGGCTGAGGAAACTGAACTTGCCAACCAGGAGAAAATAAGGCTTTGAGGCAACTTAGAAGGAGGCCTCTACCTTGCTGGTACCTACAGAGAGTTTACAAAGGAAATAGGATCAGGATCCTTGTCATGGAGTATGGTGGGTGACAAAAGACAGCAGACACAAAGTGAAATGAGAACGGCTCCGTTTTTAGAAGAGATCTTCCTCCCTGTGAGGACAGCCAGGCTCTAGGCCAGTTGCCTGGAGAGATTGTAGTTTCCATCCTTGGAGGTCTTTAAGGATGAAATAACCTAGTCGGAGTTCATGGATAAGCCCACTTTGAGCAGGAGGTCCCTTCCCACACCACTTTGTGACACAATGAACCCATAACATAATCCAGCAGTCTTTATATATGCAAGTCCTAGTAGTAGCCCTCTTTCAAGCAGTAGTCCATAGTCTGTAGCTTTATTAATTACTCTGTGAGCAAGGTTACAGAGTTTCTGCTGTAGTGCGGAAATACATTTTCCATGGCTGTGTGTTGGCTGAGTATGCACCAGGAAACCAAGGCTCAACTCAGTGGCAGCTGAAATTCCTTTTCACTGCAACTCTCTTGTGGAAAGAGAGACTGTTTGGTGACATTTTCTATCCATTTGCTCGTAGACAACCTGTGCACTTTTCCATTAACTCCACTAATTTATTTATGAAGCCATTATGAAGAAAAAACCCCTAGACGTTTCCTCTTCTAATGTTTATTCTGTTAGGCCAAGTAGCCAAGCTCTTTCAGACTGCACTTAGGTTGGGATGCTCTTCATACACTTTCAACAGAGCTCTCCGCAGCGAGACTACAATGGGGGGGGGGGGGGGGACGACTAGAATGAGCCTAAGCATCCAAACTCAGTCTTTTGCAGCGTTTGTGGTATTTCTCTGCCCGAGCTGGAAGCGTTCAGCTGCTACAGGCGCGTTAGTGCGGGCGGGAGCGCAGTGACGAGCCCGAGGGGCTGCGGGCCGCTCCCTCCCTCAGCGCACGTTTCCCGCCCAGCCGCGGGGGTGGAGGGAGGGCGGCACGGGCGGAGCGAGCCCCGCCGCTCCCCGCCCCTCGCCGCCGGCGGGCTCGGGCCGGCCCTTCCCTGCTCTCCCCTCCCCTGGCAGCTGCGAGCGCTGGCAGCATCGCGGGTGGTGTCTCGTCCGCGCCCAGCCGGCGGGAGTCGAGGGACGCTGTTCGTCTGTACGCGCTGCACGGCCCCGACATGTTCCAGCTCCTGCGGGGTTTCCTTCTGCCGGCGGCCGCCTGCGACGGGAACAGGGATGGCGAGTCCCGGTACGCCAACCTCTTCCGAAAGCTGGACCTCAACGAAGACGGGAGGGTGGACATTGCCGAGCTCCAGACGGGCCTCCGGGCCATGGGCATCCCTCTGGGGAAGGAGGCGGAGGAGGTAAGCGCGGGCCCGCGGGCGCTGCCGGGCGGGCGCTGCCGGCCCCCGCGGCCGTGGGGAGCACAGGGCGAGGCGGGCCCGGCCGCTGTGCCCGAGGGACGGGGCGCGGCCCGGCCGCGGCTGCAGCGCCCGGGAGCCGTGTCCGGCGGCGTGGGGCCGCTCCTTGGGGGAGGCGGCCTCGGGCCTGGCGTTTTCCCTCCCCGGGCCGCAGTTCCAGCGGCAGGGGCCGTGTTGTACGGGCACGCCCCGGGTTGTAGGCGAAGGGTCCCGAGCGCGTACAGCTGTCGGCGGTTCCTCTGCCAAGTGGGTTTACTCATCGTGTGTGGACTTTTGACATCCTTTGACTTCTTGTTGAGTGATTTTCGGTACATTCCTCTTCCAATACGATAAAGGATGGTAATTTACAGCTTTTGTCCGCTGCTCCACCCATGCATAATCTAGATCAGAGTAAATTAGGGTTTGCTTTGGGCAGCAGGTAGTGCAAACCTGCATAGCCGTAGGTTGTAATTTCAGAACTAGTTATTTAAGCTAAACACATAGACATGGAAGTTATTATTCTTGACATGGACTGTTGTCAGATATCGAGGTCCTTTATTAGAAAATGCACACTTGTAACAGTGGCCATCAAACCGTGAAACCGACAGTGCTGAAACTCTTGGTGATGTGGCTTCTGCAGTGATCAGTTGGACTATTACATTCCTTTGTCCCTTGTATCAATGCTGTGACCTCCGAAGTCAGTAAAACTTAAGTCATCAAGCATTCCAGTGTGATGCTGATTTACACTAGCAGGTCTGACCTGTTACCTGGAAGAGAAACTTCTCTTTCCTAATTATTTTCAGTAATCCCCAGGGATCAGCATAGAAAATAATTTAATACACAATTCTGTGGGCACAAGTGTTTGTGTGGTAAGTCAGGTGTGCTGACAAGACACACATAGGTTTATTTATGCTGAGCAGGTACACGTGAGAAGTGTGGGGGAAGCTACTATTGTAACAATTCTGCTTGTTTCAGTTTAAAGAATGATTCTCTGGCATTCCACTGCTGTGCCTGTACTAGCTGTTGCATACTTTCTGAAGGAGGTGCAGGAAAAGGAACTTAAATTTCAATTCCATTGTTAAAAGGTGTCTTGGGTCAATAATTCAGTGACCTTATGCTGATTGTGTGACAGTTTTTCCCTGTGGTCTGGTTATTTTGTCTCTGTTTTGCTCCTTCTGTTATATTTAATTCTCTGTCTCCTATACTTAAGAGAAAAGTATCCAACAGGCCTCTTGAGATGAATGGTGTTTATTCAAGAGTATAAATGAAAGCACACTTTCACTTCAGTGTTGCTGCTGGTCAAAATCATCTTTACAATAGGCACCTTTTGTGTTCTTAGGTTTTTGTAATTAAAAGAGGGAGAGGTTGGCCTTTTTGGTTATCCATGAGAGTTGTCAGTGTTCGGAGCATGCTAGCTGTAAACTCCAGTCACACATTTATACACACATTGTTGTAAACCTGTTGTACCAGTTTGATTGTAACAATTTGGGGGTTTTACTTATATTGAACAATGGGGAAACAGGTGACCAGCTAATATTCTGGTGTTTAACAAAGGTGGTCTTCCCATATAATTCACTGAAAGCCCTGGTGTGCTGCTGAATATTTGAGCAACTTAGAATTGAAGTTCCAAGTTCTTTCTCAAAATCAGTGATCTTCATTAATAGTGCAATAGGTGTCAGATGATTCTCAGTTGCTTCAGGATAAACTGAAAGAGATAGCCATGAAACAGACATAATCTAGACATACCTGGATGTAACAGAGAGCAGGAAGTGCTGCCTTAGTTGTTAAAGACACACCGAGTAAACAATATAAGCCATGAGTCACCTTCTCATTTGGGAGGAGTGGGAGAATTATTGGAGTGCAGGGAAACTTCCGTGTGCTCACAGAAGCTGAGCTAACTGTGGTGGGCAGAGTTGGAACCAGACACTAGAGTAGTGCCTTTCCTTTTTGTGGCTAATCTGCTTCCTGTACTTTCTTGCAGCTCCATACTGCTTTCTCCCACTTCAGGCTCTAAAGTGGTGTTCAATTAATTTTTCTTACTGCTTGGTAAAAAGATATTTTAATAATGAAGTCAGATATTGAATCATCATATTTGGAGAGGCAGAAGTAGTCTTATAATTACTAATAACCAATGAGTAAGGAATTGAGATGTAAAAATGTTATACGATGGGGCAAAGTGTTTTCTTCTGAACTGCTCAGCCCTGCCAGCACAGTGGCACCATGGCGTGGGCAGAGCTTGGCATGTCCTAGAGCAGGGTCAGTTTTGGTGCCTCATGGGTGCATCAGAGACTCAAGCCTCATTATGTTGATGCTGATCTGTGTTAGGTTTTCAAAAATCTCTTGCAAGGCTGACTTCCAACACATAGAATGAAATCCATATACCTGGGAGTGTTGGCCATTGTCCTGAGCTCCACAGCTGCTTTCTGGCTAACCTGTGGAAAAGAGACTCTTTGAGTGTTCCTGGGTTTCACTGCAAAGCCAGTTGGTTGATCCAAAGTTGTACCACCTTCACAGTATGGTGTTTGTGCTGCTAGTACTGTTTTACCCTTTTGTCTTTAAGTGCAGTTCCTCTCTAGAAGGAATATGCATGTTTTTAGAAGAGTAATAGACTACAGGTATGCACCTTCCATCAGCTGTGAACCTTGTGGTAAGCTTTGGAGGTGGCTTGCATGCCCCTCTAAGGAAGAATCATTTTTCCCCCATAGCTCAACCTGACAGAACCTCCTGACTATGTTCTGCTTGACCTGCCTTTTGGCAGTATCTGACAGACAAAAGTAAATGACTGGAAAATCTGGAACACGTGCTGCTTATATTGTAGGATATACAATACCTGCCAGGAATGGGTTACTTTGCAAAGCTTTGCAGAAGATTCCTGACATAATGTATCCTTATCTATGAAGGAGGAATTTAGGGTGGTAACTATCAAATGTTGCTTTACAGGCAATATTAACAGCTATTGTACAGTGACTTTGATAAGCAGGGACACAAAATAGATGCTGGGATCAAATCACACATGATCTCATGCTGTGTCTTCAGAATGCCGTGAGTCTTGTAGGCGGGAGCACCATAAATGGTGTGAGTGGTTGGATGAAGTACTATTTTTGTTCATCCTTTCCTTCTGCTGCAATCAGTCCTTACAGTAAATCCGTAGGAGGTGAACCCCATATTTCAAGCTTCAGTTTAGGATAGGAACAGCCAAGTATTCAAATTCAGGTGCTATTTATACATTGAGTTCTGGACTAAGAGTAGGAAGATGTTACTGAAATGAATAACTATATTCTGGAACCAGCCTAATGATCTTATTTGGACTAACTCTCTTAACATTTTGATATAAGCCTTTGGCTACATTAAAGCTCTTTGGATAAAGAAACAGCGTGAAGAGGCCCCTCTGTGTGGTGGACACAGGGCCTAGTGAGACTAAATTCACAACAATCACACTCTTATCTGTTTAGAGTAATTGACTGTTTCTGAAAATTTGAGTCCAATCACATCTAAAAGTACTCAGAACACTTGAAGTATGTTTCTGCATTTAAACTACAGGAAATTCAGAATTCTGCCAAGTGAGGCAGGCTCCTGTGCTGTGTTCCACTGCTGTGTCTCAGCATGGGGATGGCTGACAATGGCCCAGGTGTGTATTGTTTCCTTCTGTGCTTTTCTCTGGCCTCTAAAACCTGCAGCTAGATAGTGCTTCAGAGCCTGAGCTTTCCTGAGCAGTTCTTAGTCCAGAAAGCACACACTTGTTTAGTGACTGAGCTAAATGTGTCCTTAAATATTTCTCAACTGCTTTATTAAGATTTTTGCACTTATTTTAATTTTGGTAACTTCCCCTATATGCAAAATTAGAAGGGTAGTAGACCAAGGTAACTGAAGCCTCCTTAATCATGTTGTAGCTAGGCTAGAAACAGAAGAAACAGTGATTACTTTGGTAACTTGGAGGAAGATACATGGGTATCTTGTATCACACTGTACCTACTCTTAGAATGATTCATACCTGATATGCAGATCCACAGTCTTAAAAGCTTCAGTCCTTCCCTGTCTCTGTGTCATTCTTTATATGAATTGAAGCTTTCTCTCACCTTATGAGTCTGCCCAAAACCTGGTACTATTGAGTTAGAGTAGTCTGGCATCTTCAACTTTTTATCAAAACAGATGTCATGTCATGTGATTGTAGAAAACTGGAACCATTTAGTTCCTTTAAACTTCCCTTGTCTGGTCATAATAGATGTGATGATTATGACTGGTTATGGGGACTTAACTGTGAAATACCACAAATATCTTCAGTAATGTGTTCAATTAGTAAATTGGAAATTGAATGTATTCAATTTGCTTCACTTCCATTGTAAGCAAACATGTCAATCATTATTTCATTTCTATGTGTACAGCTTCAGAAGCTTATAACTGATACGTGCTGTAGTCTCCAAGTCTCCATATGAAAGAGCAAGATGAATCTTAAATTTGTTTTCATAACACTTTAAACATCCAAGGAGATAAAATGAATTATTTTTTAATACTAACTTGATAGGTTTTTTTCTTGAACAGTGACAAGGTACAGTGAATGATTAATTCTTCCTCCTGTTGCTGCAAAGTGCAAGAATGCCAAGAATTCCCAAATATGGGAAGCCTCACCTCTGAGACCTCCCTTAACTGCTGTGTTGAAATGCTTTGCTAAATCCCTGTCTTGAGACAGCAGTGTGTCCCAGGTGAACAAACAAGGGAAACTGTTAAATCTTTGAAATTACTATGGCTGGGATGCCTCAGTAGCAGAGTTGTCCTATTTAATGGGAAAACTCAGTCTACCAAGTATGCTCAAAGTCAAAAATACTAGTGTAACTTGCAAAGAATGCTGAATGAAAGTTCAAGGGATAGTTTGCATCTTCCATGTATGCTGTTTCAGATTCTTGAAATTTAATTCATAGCTATGAGTTGAGAGAGTTTATCCAGGTCCTGAAGGAGCAGCCTCTGCAAGGCATTTTGGGAGAGCATACTCACACTTGCATCTTGTCCTTTTTTGTCTCGTTTTCTAGAGATTCTGTTAGCTGAAATGGACCAGGGAGATCTCTGCCCGTGCTGACCTGTAGCAGGGAAGAGCGGTGCTTAGGACAGGGAACAGGAAGGGGAAGCTCTGCAGCTGATAGCAACATCTGCGCTGTCAAGGGTGCAAGTCTGCTGTACTGGGGTGGGGGCTCCTAATGTCTGTAGCAGGTTAAAGAGCCTGCTTGGACACTGTTTACATGTCAGTAGTATCCTTTGGGAGGCAAGAGAGCAAAAATGAATGCTGAATTTGGGCAAGTTGGGAGGCCTTTAGAGGCAGTGCGAATTCCGGTTTTACCCAGTGTTATGCTGGATTTCTGCATGTGAAGTGTCAGTCGAGCTCGTGTGTTATGGGGCTCACTGGGCTGTAATGCTGTGTGAACACATCCTCAGGCCCTGTCTCTTTATGCTGGATTTCTCTCCCAAATGATGTAGTTTGACAAGGCTGACTTTAAGAATCTTTGCTAGAGATTTTTGGGTTATCGTAGTCTGCATAAATTTGTGTAGTCTTAGCAGATATAAATAGGAAAAAGACTGTTGTCTGCTATGTGTCCAGTAAAGGGAGAAGTGCTGTGTATACTTCAGCTGAATTTGGCATCCAGTAATATTGCACCTGAATAACTTAAAACTGTGGACTGCAGAGCTATGTGAATGGTTAAAAAGTACTTAAGAGGAAAAGAATTGAAAAAGGGGAGAAAACAATGTCATGATTGGTTTTATGTATATAGTAACTCTGATTTTAAAAGCAAATGTGAAATTTCCTTTAAAAGCAAATGTGAATGTCTAAAGACATGATGATGTTCTTACTGTGGTGCTGGAGTTCTTTGTATGCAGCATTTGTATCTGTGCCCTTTGGAACTCTGGCTGCAGACTGCAGAACACATAATTGCTGCTTGCACCAGTGATGTATCTTGAAGTGCTGTTTTATGCTTGTGTCTTGTAGATAGCGTGATAGGAAGCAAATAACTTCTTGATGAATCACTTCCTATTAAATATTCTTTACATTATATTAATTAGCTGAAATTACAAGCTAATTAATTAATTGGTAATCCTTTGTACTCAGCAGCCCCACCTTCTATGCACAGTTCAGTTTTGTAAACAGAATGTGAAGACATGCACAATACACAAATAATACTAAATACTAAATAATATAAAAATTAGACTGTGAATTTGAAAGAAAAGTCTACATAAAAACATCAAGATATCTAGTGTATTGCATTCATTGTCTTTACGTTGTAACCATGAATGTGTTAAAGTTCATAACTTTGGCATAGAGCAATCTAATAATTCATCAGGACACTTACAGAGAAGGGTAGGGAGTTTTTGATGTGTATATAAAGCCTGTCTGTAATTCTTTTTTTTTTTTTCAGCAGACCTGCTGACTAACTTACATTTCCACACCAAATACAGAGGTCTTCTGATGGAGTAGGAATTCAACACTGCAACATGATTTATATAATGGAGAAGTTTTTTTTAAAATACCTTCAGTGTTTCAGTCTGCTTGTGGCCTCTTGTGTTAGTTGTGCAGGACTTGGAAAGCAGCTGTATTAACAAAATATGCAACAGAAAAAGAACAAAAATAGTAGAATTATGAAGAAAAGAAAAGAGGAAGAAAGAGGTGACAGTATCATGACCAAATAGGTCAGCACAGGAGCATTTTAGTCGGTTTGTGTGAAGGCTTGTAGCATTAAAAAGAAAGATCACAGAATCATAGCATTGTTTGGATTGGTAATGATTTTTAAAAGGTCTTGTAGTCCAATTCCCCTGCAATATAGCAAGGTTGCTATATCAGGTTGCTCAGAACCCCACCCAGCCTCACCTCAGATATTCCCAGGGGTGGAGCATCCTGGGCAACCTGTGCCAGTGTTTTACCACCCTCATTGTAAAAAACTTCTTCCTTATATGTAATCTAAATCAACACTCCTTACATTTAAAACCATTCTCCATGTCCTATTGCTACAGGTCCTGCTAAAATATTTGTCTCTTTTATAAGCCCCTTTAAGTACCAACAGGCTGCAGTGAGGTCTCCCTGGAGCCTTCTCATCCTCAGTCTGAAAAACTCCAGCCTTTCCTCACAAGCATCTCACAGGAGAGGTGCTCCTGCTCTCTGATCATCTTTGGGGCCTCCTCAGGCCCCGCTGCACCAGGTCTGTGTCTTTCCTGTGCTGAGGAGCCCAGAGCTGGATACACTACTCCAGGTGGGGTCTCATGAAGGCAGAGTAGAGGAATGGAAGCTCCCTTGAGCTGCTGGTCATGCTTCTTTTTCTGCAGCCCATGTCATCATCCAAACTGTGTTCCTACATCTGTCAGCAATTAACAATTCTTTATGTGGTCACCATTTCATTTTACCCAGTGAATTATCCTTACTGCTTGTGATTACAGTTTTTAGACAATGAGAAAAAAATGGTGTGCCTTGAAAAATGAACATTTGGATCTGAGCCTTTGTGAAGGTGAGGTGATCCCACAGTAAGGCAGTAACAAGAAATGGCAGGTTTGATGTGGCAGGCATGCCAAACATTGTTTCCCAGGGCTTGTAAGTGAGTGTTGGCACCTTGGTTCCTGCTCTATTGTAAGCATGCCTATTTTAAAATGCATCCAGTGCTCCTCCATCTGAGAAGCTGGTGACCCAGGCACTGGGAGAGTGACAAGTGGCTGTAATTATACAAAATCTGGTGGTATATTAAATTTAGAAGAGCAGAGTTGGATTCAGTGTTGAACTGAAGTGGGGAGTGATTGACTGATGGAGTAGTTTGTGTGTGGAGGCTGTGGAATCTCCTTTCTTGACGATGTCCAAGACTCAGTTGGATGTGGTCCCACACAACCTAATCTAATTAGATCTAATTAGACATGCTTTCAGCTGGGGTTGAGTTCAATGGACTCCAGAGGTTCCTTCCAACTTGAATTACTATTTGATGCGGTGAAGGGGCAGTTTGTACCAAGGACTTAGTGTGCCAGGCTCCCCACAGAATCCAGAGGTGTCTTCCTGCTGGCTATGCCCATGGGGTATGGAACCCCCCCAGGAGGAAGTTTCTGCCTGCCAAGTAGAAGACAAGCTTCTTTCGATGTTCCTGTTCCACAAACTTGCAAATTACTGATTTTAATCTGAAACCTTAACACCCACATAATTAGTTCACCTCACAGACAGCAAGAGGCTTTTGTTTGCATGAGCTTTTAGATTTGTACTGAGAGAAAAACACATGTGCCATATGTTTTTGTTCCCTGTCATTTCTGTCCTGCTTCGCTGAGAGTGGCTGAGACTGACTTGAAGTCTGGAAAATAACTGTCAAAACAAAAGTAGGAAATGGAGAGTACGTTTGTGCTTACCATTTTCTCATTGTTGCAATATGGATTCCATTTCTTTTGCAGATGAACTGAAAAGTGTCCCCCTTCACATACAGAAATTACCAGCTCTCTAAAGTAACATGGAGTTTCTGTTTTCTTTGGCTCACAGTGGAGGTTCTCATCCTCAGCAGTGGAGGTTCTACTATAATTATAATTTAGTTCAAGTTTTGTCCTCACAGATATGTGACACAGAAAACCACTTTCCTTGTTCTGCATTTTGGTTTGTGTAGTTCAGCTAGCAATAGGGAACAGTAACAATTGTTGTGGAGTAGAACTCACACAAAGTGATTACAAGTGTCACATAAGTCACCTCTTCTCAGGAAGGCGTGGGAGCCCAGCAGGACACTCAGACCCTGCAGCATGAGGTGCCATGAGTGGAGTAATTGACTTGATTTTTACTGTGCACAACTTGCTGTATTATGGAAGGTAAATAAGTTGCTCATTTCACTGGTGTACCACGTCAGTTTGCTCCATTTCATTGAGAAATCCTTGATAATCTTATAAATTTTGGTTTTTTGAGATGAAACTTTGAAGTACATTACTTTTTGTAAAGGGATAGGGAAGATGAAGGAGGCAACATAAATTGTTTAGATGCCCTCAGTCTTTTTCAGACTCCTGCAACAAATACAGCAATATTCTGCTTCCTCTGTGTTTAGTTTCTGTAGCCTAGAACTTGTTGGACTTTGGTCTTTAGAGTCCTCTACTAATTAAAGAGGAGTAAACAAAATTAAAACCAGATTTTGCAGATTAGTACAGCCATTCAAATCTTGTGGAGTGTTTCTTTATTCAGAAACTACAGTTGCGCAAGGCAGTCTGCTGAATAGAAGATACGTTGAAGAATTTTTGGTGTTTGAAATTCGGAAGAATTTCAGCTGCAGAAAAGAAGGGCACCGGTGAATTTTCCAAGGAGCAGGAGCATATGCAGCTGACTGTGCTTGTGAATGAGCAGCTGCTGGATTTTTGCAATTCCCTTCACTGTGCACAAAAGCCCGGTGCTCTGCTGCTTCATTCTTGGCCTTCTGTGATCTGCACAGGACTGAAGCTGAGCGAGGCTGTTCTCATGTGCTGCTTTTCAGCATTTCTGCTACATGTAGGCTGCTACATGTAGGTGCTGGGAAGCTGCAGTTGGTGAGGAGATCGTGCTGTCAGCTCGGTCTCCTGTCTGCTACTGAGTGCTCCCCCCTAGGATTTTGCACATTGAGGGAACCCACAGGGACCAATGTCCAAAGGAGGGGATAAGACACAATTTTCCCTTAAATCTTGTGTTCTGGAGCAGGGTTCTGGGCTGGTTTCCCTGCAGCAGCACGAGGAGCGATGGCAGCGGCTGTGGCCCTGCTGTGGCCTTGGCTCTCCGTGCCCAGAGCTGCCCTTGCTGGGGTGTAAAACCCAAGCTCCTAAACCCTGCAGAGCTTCCCTGGGCTTTGCCTTGAGCACAAGGCTTAGCAGTTACAGGCTGCTGCTTGCAGGGCTGCTCTAATTGCCCTTCTCTAACAAGTAAGTTTTCACACATGGAGATGGTGAAGTTTCCTGGCCCTTTGTTGGTGGAGAAGTGTCTGCCTGGGCTGTGTTTGAGACTTGTTTCCTGCAGTCCTGGCAATTGCATACCATGCATTCAATGCATAGTTAATTGTACATGAAGTGTTTCTATCTGCAGGACAGTTCCTAGGAAGCACACACCAGGAAGGAAGATAAGTGTGTTTGTGTTTGTTTAAAAATGTAGTCAGGGCTTCAGTTTGGAGCAGAAAGCTGTGTTCTCTCAAACGCTGAGGGCTGCAAGTACCAGTGGAGCAAGATCTTTGTCGTTTTTGGTCAGCATTTAAAATTGCTGTTTGTATTTTTTGTCTTCATCATTTGTAATTAATAGACTATTTATTAAGATGATAGCGCAAGGTTCTGCTTATTTTATTGACAGATTTCATATACAGGAAACTCACAGGCTTAAGCTTGTTCTCTCTCAGGTTGTTCTCTCTCAGGTTTTTCTCTTGTCCCCCATGTCTTCCTCCACAAATTATTTAATACCTGTAGGTATAACTTGCCAGTGCTGGCAAGAAACCTTAAAATTTCTGCACAGAAAAGTTATGTAAATAATAAATAATGCTTTCTTAAATATATATTTACTGCCAAGTGTTTTCTCTCTTTATGCAAATATTGAGTGTGTTAAATTTTGAAAACAAAATGATGCTTTGTGACCTGCTGTAATTTGGACAAATAAAATATTCATTTTTCTCTCAATAGAAAATTTTTAAAGCTGGGGATACTAACCAGGATGGACAGCTGGATTTTGAAGAATTTATGCAGTATCTTAAAGAACATGAGAAAAAGATGAAACTGGCATTTAAGAGCCTGGACAAAAACAATGATGGTATACCTTGATTTATTTTATTTGTTCAAACATCATCTGAAGAAACTGCATTAAAAGTAGTGTAACCTATATTTGTCTGACTGGAAAAAAAATTGTGAATATGGAGTCCTTCTTTTCCTTAACATGACCATAATTAAAGTTTGCTACAGATAAAAAAAAAATAGTCTTTATTCTTTCTATTTTTTCCAAATACACTGAACTGGTGCTTCTTGTTCCCCAAATGGAGAAACTGTGAGAAAATTTCTGACTATTTCTAGCTATTAAAGATAAACCAGTTTTTAACTAACTGTATATTTGCATCTTATTTGCTTCATCCTTGTAGTAGACAATCAAAACACATTGTCTGTGCTAAGCTGATTTTTAGATCATCTTTGCTATTATTCAGCTGTTGCAATGAGCTCCAAGATGCTAAGTTTATTAAGATGCACATTTTAAATACGTATCATCTTTGTTTTAATGTTTCAAGGAAAAATTGAAGCCTCAGAAGTTGTCCAGTCCCTCAAGATATTGGGTATAGACATTTCAGAAAAACAGGCAGAAAAGATCCTGCAAAGGTCAGGAATTATTATTTTTTGAAGCAGCTTAATCTTCCTTGTATTGTTAATTTCTATATTTTTCTGTTTCAGAAAGGGGGTAAATGGGATTATGACTTTGAAAGGTGTTGGTAGTTACTATTGGAGCATCTGGTTCTGGGAGGAGATGTTACTTTATTTCTCTGTAAATATTGTTGATTGAAAGAAGCACTGTATTAAGTTTTTAAATGGAATAGGACAGATGCACTTGGATAAGAGAAGCATAGTATTGAAAGGCCATGGCAATTCAGCCTTGAAGTCACTATATGGAATTTACAGTCAGTTTGGGATTTACAGTTGTTATTTGAAGAAGCGTGCAGCACAACAGTTATTGATGTGATAACATAAATTTTAAAAAAAGGGTGGGGGGAGGGGGAAGAAAAGGCAGAAAACCAGAACAAAACTCCACCATTACTATTTCCTTATATAGTTTTGTTCAAATTCTTTACAGTATTGATGCTGATGGGACAATGACAGTAGACTGGAATGAGTGGAGAGATCATTTTATGTTTAATCCAGCTACAGACATCGAAGAAATAATTCGATACTGGAAACATTCCACTGTAAGTTCAACTTCCCTTTTAACCTAGTGCATCTCTTAAGTTCATCTCTGATGTGTTAATTTGTGATATTGAGTATAACAGCTTCACACTTCTTATATTTCAAGCATATCTCTATTGTTTGGTTTTCCTTTTCACTTCATGCTCTCCCATTTACAAGCAGGATTGTGTTAGATGAGTTCCTTCTGAACGAACAACGTCATCTAAACTTTGCAAATAATTATCAGCAATTCTAAGGACAGAATCTTTTTCCTCTTTTGGAGATATTTCACAGAAAAATAATAACCACAATATTAAACATTTTTCTTCGCACATTACAGTACGATTTGATTTGTTGAAACAACTTATATAGACATTTTAACTGTTTCTTATGTTGAAATTTGTATTTACAGTTATATAGTATCGTTATAATTATCATACAATCTCTGGTTTCTTGACAGGTGATTTTCTGTGCACATTGTGCTCTTTTGTGCCATATAATTTAATTTAAGCATACAGAATATACAGCAATAGTTTATCCATTGTGCAGACAAATTTTTTAAATTTTTACTGTGTGGAGCTGTTAACACCTTAGTTACTGATTTTTAAGAACAATGATAAAGTAAGTAAACCAACAGTAATCCTGTTTGCTAAATATCCTTCCTGTAGATTATTGGAGGAAATAAAGTAAGGTTGGATGCCTTTGAATACAGTGAGTCCATTTATATCTCCAGGGATTAGTCAGCATTTCCATAATAAAAACCATTTTATGAGATCTGAGAGCTTTGAGTGTTTGACACTGTACAAGCTCAGCTCAGGAATGCTTGCCAAAAGGCAGTTAGCTCCCTGTTTGCTGAGGAGAGCACTTGAAGCACTGCTATGAGATCAAATAGTCCTGGTCCCAGCTTACTTAGTGGAAAAAAACTTGGCTTTAATAAAATGCTCCTTAATGTTATTAAACAAAAGATCTGTATTTTTTGTTTTTTATTATGGAATGTCATTAGTTGCCCCCAAGGAACAACTGAGGGAGTCTCCTGTGATCTTAGTGTTGCAGTCAGCTGATGACCCAGTTATCACAGCAGGCAAAATCCAGCAACACAGCTGGTCTTTGAGATAAGAGCAGATGTGAAACCTCCCAGCCTGGCTGGCATTTACAGACAGCTCTTACAATTCTGTTTTTATAATATAATTGCTACCAGACCCTTCCAAGCAGATAGCTACATTGGCATAGAATTATTATGATAGCTGTGGCCTTTCTGTTATAAATGCCCTCAAATTTATCACGTTTATAAATTTATTTATTTATTTCCTTAGTTGTGTTTAGGTCTTGGTATACACAAGGTTTAAACCCTGACAGATACACATATTATCTCTTAGAACACTGAATTTATGTTTTGAGAGTTTTGATTGATTGTTTGATGTTTCCATAGTTGAGCAACTGATGACACCTCACTTTGAAACCTCAAATGCAAGAAAGATGAAAGGATTTTGCAATTAATCTCTTCTGTGTTCAATATCCAGAATAGGTGGTGCTTATCCTTTTTGTTCAGTGGCTATATTTGCACTCTGCATTCTGCAATTTTTGTCCCGAATGACCAGGACAGTATTCTGTCTACTGACAGAGAGAGAATGCAGCATAAATTAGGGATATAATGTCTACAATTAAAATCAATGGTAGTTCAAAAGTTTATCAGTTAACACTTTCTAGTCAGTACTTATCAGTTATTAATATATTTTTGCTCTTTTTATAAATTTAATTTATGTGTAATAGCAGATTTGCGTTATCTACAGTATACTTTTTCTCATGTAGGATGATTATAGGTTACACTTAAGAGCAAAAGTGATGTGAGATTTCATAGTGTTCTGTCTTGGTTTTATAATTAAAATCTGTATTAATGTTGTTATTTGGTTAAATCCAATGGCAGTACAAAAGTGCCCCCCTTAGTGAAATGTCAAGCTCTTACAGCTGAAAAAAGTAATTAAATGTGTCTTTGAGTGTAACTGATGATAAGAAAATCTATAAGGCATCTGTCAAACTATTCATTTGGTAGGATAATACACAGCAGTCACTGGAAATAGAATTTTCTGTTATATCAGCTGTTAAAACCCTGCTTTGAAATGTTGGGGAGTGTGGGAGAAGGAGACATCCCACATGTGTGAATAAATTACCGTGAGAGAAATCTCTTGTTAGCAACCTTAGGAGATTACCAAAGTAATCCCACAAGACTGTCTGGTGAAAGGTTAGCTGCAACATATAAGCATTTGAAGGACTGCTGATCATGACAGAATGTCTTTGCTTGGACCATACTCAAGGAGGAAATTTGTAGTAATTTTTAATGATGATGGTTCAGTCTTTGAAATGGTGGGTCTGTGGTGTTATTGCTCAATATCTATGCAGAAGTCACTTAAAGTTGCTTTTCAGTGAATAGCAATGTATAGCAAGTTAATTATGGAATGCAAATTAGAGATATTTTTTATTTGTAACTAGCACTTTATTTGCACATTCTTAGGTAGTATACTAATTTGGAATTAGAACTGTGGATAAAACTGAGGTGATGGAATGAGATAGTTACTTGCGCATCTTTGCTTTGGATTCATAAAGGTATTGGATATAGGAGATAGTTTGACTGTTCCAGATGAGTTCACAGAGGAAGAGAAGAAGACTGGGCAGTGGTGGAAGCAGCTGCTGGCAGGAGGAGTGGCTGGTGCTGTCTCTCGAACAGGTACAGCACCCTTAGATCGCCTTAAAGTCATGATGCAGGTAGGTGCAATGTTCAAGAATTTCTTGGTTTCCAGTGCATCACTTCAGTTTCTAGAGATCTGCTAGGAAAAAATGGGGGGCCAAGGTCGGTGTTTAAATTGCAGAGGTCTGGCTATGTTTTGACAATTCCATTTTTTGTGTTTATAAAAATGCTCTTTTATAGATGTGTGAAAAAATGTAAGAAAATGTTACAGTACTTGTGCTGCTAAAATTAGATTTTTTTCAATAGTGCACATAGTTTTGCCAGTTGATATATTTAATCAATTTAATACTGATGAGTTTTATAATCTAATCAGAGCCATGTTCTGTACTGTGACTTTGGTTTTGGTTTTTTTTAGGTTCATGGTTCAAAGTCAAACAAAATGAATATAGCCAGCGGTTTTAAGCAAATGTTGAAAGAAGGTGGTGTCCGATCCCTTTGGAGGGGAAATGGTGTAAATGTTGTGAAAATAGCTCCTGAAACAGCTATTAAGTTCTGGGCTTATGAACAGGTAGGATGATAAATCAATAATGAAAATAATGCTAACTAAAGTCCTAAATCACTCTCACTGTTCCTTACTGGCACTGTTGTATTATATAGGATTGTTGTCGTCTTGTCCCCTTGTCCCATATTGTCCCCATGTTGGGGATTTTGTCATAGTAATTTGAGTGACTTTCAGATTTAAAATAGTCTATAGAATACTTACTATTAGGCAGATTTAACTGTTGCATTATAAACAGTGCACATGAATTATATCTGTTACATGTTTTAAACTGTAAAACGTATGTTTTACATGCATGGCTTTGTGTGGAGTACTGCACTCATATCTAGATTGTTGCTGCAAAGTGACAGCAGGCAACAACTTGGCACACTATGCTAGCTGAACTTACAGGGGATTCATTTGAAGTCAAATATCACAGTGCTATGTATGATGCCCTCATCCTGGATTTCAGAGTTATATTTACCTCTGAATCAGCTTTAAGCATCATGTTAAGGCCTAATCCTCCTTTGGAAAATGAACTCCCATTCTGGTGTATTTAAATGAGCTTTATTTTTGCTCTGTGAGGCATACTAGTGACTCAAGTAAGACCAAATGAGCACACTGCACATCTCTGTAGAAGGAGGAGATAAAAACAACAAAATACCAAATAAATTTGGGGATGTTGAAAGACTGAACAGCAGATTTTGGTGCCACAGAACAACTTTGGGCACGTTATTCTTTTACTCATGGAATGACACAGTGTGTACAGTACTTAAATGCTTCTGTGTCATTGAATGTGTGCTTCTGTGAAAACTTCCATTCTTTGATTAGACAACTGGATCTGCAAGGGAATTTGGTCCCTTTGTTTTCTGGAATTCTTAATATAGGTACTCTTGAGTTGGCTGTTTGCAGAACACTGATGATATTATGGGTGACTGAGGTATTTAATCTAAGAATCCTTGCAGGCTGGAATGTTTTTTATTGTGTTCTGGAGAATCTTTTTGGGTTAGCAAATGTGACTGTAAATGCATGAAAAACTAAGAACAGGCACGTTCTTTTGCTCTTATGTTCTTATGCTTGAAAAGACATTTTGTACTGTACTCTTACCTTTTATAATAACTGTTACCACTCCTAAACAAACCATGTGTTTGTGTTTTAACTATGCAGTATAAGAAGATACTCACTAGGGATGATGGAAAGTTAGGCACTGTTGAAAGATTTGTATCTGGTTCTTTGGCTGGAGCAACAGCACAAACTTCTATTTATCCCATGGAGGTAAGAGAATCTGCTTCTATTGGAGCCTGCAAAATGTTTGGTTTGTTTCCTAAATAAACCCCATTTTGCTCTTGAAAAGATTGTAGAAATTCCTCTCTTATCTGGTACCCTGATTTTTTTTACTTTGGACTTCCTTTCAGACTTTCAGTGCTAGGCATTTCAGAATATACTAAGTTCTAACTGATTCTTGTAATGTTTTGCTTTATAATATTTTTAAAAACAGTATTTAAATAAAACCTAGTGCAGGAAGAAAGATCATCCAAGAGCAATTAAAATTCAATATGTATTCAAGCATTTTGTAAATTGGTCATAAATCTTTTTCCTGCTATATGTAAGCAAGGAATAGTGTTGTCTGGACAAAACTGAAGTTCTGTTGTGTTAGGATGGGAAGCTGGGTCTGATAAGGAGAACAGTGTGGGGGAAGGATGTAACAGCTGCAGCTCAGGCTGGGTGGATTGGCTCCTCTTTCCCTGTAGCACATACCTGTAGGTGGTACTACACACTGCAATTTAACTAGTGTTAATGTAATAACTGTTCCAGTGTAACTGTAACACACCATTTCACAGAAACAGCTTGTATTTTCTTTACTGCTGGTTCCCCAGAAGGTTTATCACTTGTGTAGAACCTTGTTGGAATAGATGTTGGGGCTGGGACTTAACTAATACAAACATCAAGTTTGGTAGAAATGGCAAATGTAATCTAAATAGCTTTTTCATTGGTTGGGGATTTCAGTAGGAATGGAACAGTTTTCATTGCTGAAGTAATAATGATCTCTTTAAAGAGCATCCTTGCTGTTCCAGAGGGTGAATCCCAGCTGAGCTGAGTAAAGAGATGGGTTAAATTAGGGAAGAACTGAAACATGATGCAGATTGTCTGGATTACACTGATCAGTGGAGACAAGGGAACTGTTCTACAGTATCTTCTGGTCTTCCTCACAGAGATATGGTACTGTCCTGGAAGTGTTTTTAGGATGTTTCTAAGTAAGAGAGAAAAGCCAAGTGCCAGGAAATTCCTCAGGAAGATGCAGTCTTTTGAGGCTTTAAAGTAGACCAAATTGTTGCTCAGGAAACTTCCTCTGTGGTTTCTTTTGGATGCTGTTACTAATTTCTTTGTTCTAAGATGCAGTACAGACTTGCTTGCATTATTAATCAGGTGCTGGGTTTCAGTAGTGAGACACAATTATTCCTTGTATTCCTCAATTACCTCTCGAAGTGTCACACTTTTTGAAATATTATTTTCTTAATAGGCTTTAGTGTTCCCAGATCAGCAGTATCATCTGCTAGCATGTTAGTACTCTCACTGGAGCCTTAGCTAATACTTCTATTGAATATTGCCTACACTGTTGCCTTCAAGTTCATCAAATAACTGCCTGTTTTGATCAATAAAATAAAGCTAAAATGCAATTTTAAAAGGCTAAGAATTTGTAAGCTAGTGTATAGTAATGTGTGGTGCTCTGAACTAAGGACAGAACTTGAAGAAGCCTGCTGGTAACAATGCCTTACCAGTAATCAAAGGAGATTTGCAGCACCAAAGTGCAAAACGGTTCTAGAGAATTCAATAAACAGAAATATACTGTGTATCTAACTAGATTAATAAATAGGTATGTAATTAAGACTGGTATTTTTTTTCCTTGTAGGTTTTAAAGACCAGATTGGCTGTGGGTAAAACAGGGCAATATTCTGGGATGTTTGACTGTGCTAAGAAGATTTTAAAAAGAGAAGGTCCAAAAGCCTTCTACAAAGGCTATATTCCTAATATTCTGGGTATAATTCCTTATGCTGGCATTGACCTTGCTGTTTATGAGGTGAGTTTAAATCAGTGAATGCATGTAGCTGTCATTAATTAATTTACAAAAAGCATCAATATTTTTAGAATGTTTGTGCTATTGTACTATTACAGCTGGTTCAATTTTAAAAAGACAAGTGAGACTTTCCACTAACGTTACGAGACCTCAGTGTTTCTGTTTGCCCCTCTTGAGGAGCACCTGGGCAGATGGGCCCTTCCATGCAAGAGTGCCAAGCAGGAAATGTGCAATGAGAGGATTATACAGACCTTGGCAGTACCACAAGCTTTCATAGTAACCTAACCCTGTTAGACTGGAACATACCCATTTTATAGCAAATATATGCCTTTAAAAGGATAGTCACATTATGATATTATGTTTATACATTTTTTTGCCAGTTGTTAGGTTTATGAGTGGATTATATTAACCTGAATTCCTTCTGTGTCTGTGCATGTTACCAGAATTCTTTCTGGCTGACACAGCTTTTCTGAGGAGCTTGAAACATTGCTGTCTTTCCTTTCCAGAGAAACTGGCACCTATTTCACCCACCAGCAATGCTGAAAGTCTTTTATCTATCTTAGATAATATGTGTTGCTTCAAAGTGTCTTAAATAACTCAGACACACAGACTTAATTTTTTTCTAGTCTAGACAAATCTTTTTTTGACACTGCATTAGCCATCACCAGAACTGTTTGAACAAACATTTTCAAAGCTGTATGGAATTTCTTTTCTACAGTTTGCATCCTTGTTTCTGCATTGGATGATGTGCACAGATGTGTGAGCTTTCCTTGCACTCTGTGGGGTGCTGGGTTGTTTCCCACCTCCTCTCCCCAAAGTATTACAGGTGCATGGGCCACTTCCTGCTGCTGGATCTTTTAAGGATTTCTCTTCTAGGTACTAACTGTTGTAGTCTGGTGGAAGTCCTTCCCTGTGTGCTAAGGTGTTTACCTGTGCACTTCAAGCATGTAGTGAAATTGGTCCAGTGAAATTGGTGCTTTTCAGGATTGAGCCCTTAGGATTTGTTATGAATAAAGAAGCACTTGTTTAACTTTTTGAATGCAGATCTCTTGTCTTACTGTTTAATTTTGTACCTTGGCAGCTCTTAAAGAGTACGTGGCTAGAGCACTACGCATCGAGCTCTGCGAACCCAGGTGTTTTTGTGCTCTTGGGCTGTGGCACCGTTTCCAGCACGTGTGGGCAGTTAGCCAGTTACCCTCTGGCTCTCATCAGAACACGCATGCAGGCTCAAGGTGAGTCTTCTTTCCTGAAAATGCTTCTATGTGGTCACATGAAAATTGCATCATGTGGGATAGCTCTAGCAGAGACATAGGAATAAAAAAAAAAAAAAAAAAAACAAATTGGAAAAACTAAGGATGTATCTGGAAAATTCTTTTTAATGTTGGTCTCTTCTCCCTCTTACCCCCAACACTGTTGTTCTTCATACTCAATTTAAAAAGTAACATCTCAAGAACTGGTGTTTTATGTATTCTGAGAGCCACGTGCCATACAAGACTACCAGACACAGCCCCTGTCACAGTGTGGAAGCACTCCTCTAAACTTTACAATGTTTTCTGAATTTTAGAGATTAAATGACAGGGCTTGAATTGTCCTGTGAGGGTAGACAGCAATGTTTGCTCTGTAGGGCATTTCATTAGGATAGTTTCATAGCTGAGATTTTTGTCTGATAGGTTTCTGCATAGACTTAAGGATGGGAGCCTAGATTTCCAAGGTACATAGGTGGATCATGCTTTCCACTGGGATTAAGACACATGGATATCTCAAATGTCTGGGATTAAAAGATCTCTTTTCAGTGGACCTGAGATAGTAGGCTCATGATCCAAGTGTTTGAGACTTGCTCAAGATTTTGAATCTTACCAGAACTGTTTTATAACACATTATCTTTTTGTTCTAGCCTCAGTGGAAGGAGCTCCACAGCTAAGCATGGTTGGTCTCTTTCAAAGGATTGTTGCTACAGAGGGACTCCGAGGACTTTATAGGGGCATAGCCCCTAATTTTATGAAAGTGCTTCCAGCTGTCAGCATCAGCTATGTTGTCTATGAAAAAATGAAACAGAATTTGGGAATAGCATGAAATGAAGGAAAAAGGTGAGATGCTTCTAATGCTGTTGGAAATACGAGAACAATGTTTTCTCAAGTAATCTGCTCTCACAATTAGAGACAGATCTTTATAGAGAGATGCTGCGATTTCCACATTTGCCCTTAAGTGGGAAGAAACTTTCTTAAATTTTAGTTCACCATTTTTAAACAGATACCTATATTGCACTTTAAAATGTCACTGAGTTGAAAAAAAAATCAAGAAACTGTCTTTAAATCAGCAGTATGTTTTTATTTTTAGGAAATCATGCATATTTTACTCATTGGGGTTTTTGTAATTTGTCCTTTCTAAATGTGTATTTGTCTTGGATGAAACCAAAGGTAGGAGAAGTTTATGCTGCCTTGATACTGAATATATGAAAGTGACTTTGTGTTTTGTCATGCTGCCTACACTCAAGCAATTCACAGGCGACATTCTGCATGCCTAGAAGTGAGCACTTTTGTTATTTTGGAAGACTTAACGTTAAGTTCATAAGAAATTGCGTCTTGGATACACACAATAATGGAATAACACATTAAAATATAGCCCACCACCTTTGTCTTCAGGCAAACCTTTTTTATTTTTCATTATTTAAAGAGCCTGAGAAACTGCTGTTCTGCAGTATCGGAATACCTCAATGGATTTACACGGTATTTTTGTAGTACAATCAGCAATTTTGATAACTTGCTTCACTGGACCTGCTTTTCATTGCACTTGTAAATGTCAGCACCATTAACCATGGCAAAATTTGGGTTACAGCTGCTGCATGTTTTATAGGATCATAATACAAAGGAACAGAAAAGGCTTGGATGTTAGATCCATTCCAAACTAGTGCAAGTTGCTATTTAAAAACAGGATGGAGGATCCAGTATGAAGCTGGTGGTAATTGTGGTACAGCCAATGGCAGAGCTGTCCATAGCTCTGGGAACAGGAATGCTTGTCATTTTGGACTCTCCATTCTTTCCCTTATTCAGAGGGCTACATCCACTCTGTGCTTTTAGCCAGTAGAGGATTGCATTATTATGTAAGGGATTTTTACAGTTTTGTCATGCGAGATCAGTCTTCCCTGCACATCGGCTGTGGGTGTGAAATTGGGATAATAAAATACTGAAGTGTTTCGTCCAGGTGACCAAGTGGCAGTGCTGACCTCAGGTGCCCATCAGATTGGTGTTAATGTAGCATGCAAAGCATGCATGCCGACCTGCTAGTGCTTGAGAAACAGCTCCTCCTCAAAAAACAAAGCAGCCCTTCCTCCATGCACAACATTAGGTGTTTCCATGTACAAGTCCTTCCAAAGTGACTTCCCTTTTTATTTTTTTTTTTTTGTGTGTGTGGAGGGGCACACAGTTGCCTTCAGGCCTGAACACTGAAATAGATTAACAATTGTTAGCTGATTCATTTGTTTAGGCTTTTTCTGCTTTCTGTAATGTGTATTGTCTTAATCTTGGTAAATTCGAGATTATACTTACCTTGACCTTCTAAAAGCAACTGCTCTTAGACCACTTGCTGAAATTGGATTATTGAAGGAAGAACTTTATTCTGTTACGGTCATTAAGGGTCTTCTTTTTAATTATTTCCTTTTTCTGGGTGGGCATGAGGGCTGCATGGGTTTTTTTGGTTTTTTGTTTGTGTTTTTTTAAGCAGAAAAATAAGCAAGCAAGCAAAAATAACTACCTGAATCTCCCATATGCTTTGGGCCATATTTTTCAGACAGCAATCACATGTAAATTTGTGTTCAGCGCTTCCATGGCTGGTGTTTATTCTCCATAAACTGATACACAGCAATTCCGTAAAATCTGTATTATAAAATTTTTTTATCACATTTCAGAAAATGGCAGCTCTAGCTGTATTTTGGCCTTCCCTTTAGGGAAACGTTGGACTTTGCACTTTAAAAAAAAAAAAAAAAAAAAGTCATTCTATCCAAATCATTTTTATGTATAATGCCTTTCTGATCTGAGTTTTCCTTGGTTTTGCCAATATCTTTGTACCTTTGTGGGATTTGTGAGATCCCTGGTAATTTTGTTTGACTGTGACCAATAAGCAAATGTATTGTGTGTGTGATGTAAAGATGACTTCAGCATTTCTATCTTCCAGACTTGTTCCATTTTGTTCATAGTGTGCAAGTGCCGTTACGAGTATTGAAATCATGGTAACATTTTCAAATGTTGAGAAGATGAGCTGTTTCAGATTTGATTTTTTCATTATGTGCCTTGATGATGACTGTGCTCAATTGTGTATTCTTTGTCTCTTAAATGTATGTTTACCTTTCTAGCTCTATAAAACTACCAGTTTCTAATAAATCTTGGATTCCTTATCTGACTGGAGTGTGCTGATATGTTTTTTTCAAGGTCTGATAGACAACACTTCTTTATTGCACCATATGCATAATACTCAACGTAAAAAATGAAGGCAATTGATCTAAAAGTAGGTTTCAGACTAGACTATTCTTTGCTGTTACACTGATACTTGAAAACAGTTGCAGATAAGTCAATTGTCATCCTGTTTACAGCTGTCTCATTGCTTAATGGAAGACCACATGTTGAATATTTTTGCTTTACATTGAACAGTATTAGCCAATAATTTGCTTCTGTGTACGTTGCGTGACAGAACTCTTCAGAATCAGGGACAAACATACTGCTGATCTTGCTTTGTTGTTAATCTTAGTTGTTAGTCAGAGGATCACTATAAAATCTTTTCAAGGTAATTGACTTAATTTACTCTGCATGTGTGGTATGACTATGATGCTAAAACCTTGTTAGCAGCTAGCTTTGACAACTCCTTTTGAGGTTTTCACACCAATCCTTCAAATGTTAAAGATAATTGTAAACAAATTAGGGGAAGCTTTTCTTGTCTCTGCTGCAAATAAAGTTCTTGTAACATAAGATTTAGAAGTTTTATTTTAAGTAATGGAAGAGGTAGATGCACAGTGTATGATTCCTGACTAAGTGAACAATTTGATCTTCAATTTGACTTGAGGCAAGAATGCTTTTAATTGCAAATGCTCTGCAAGAAGAGCCCAGAAGGGAAAGGGAAAGATTATTTTCTTTTCCCTTCAAGATGTATGTGGAGTGTGACAGCTATTCAGTACCATTAACACTAGAAAACACTGCAGAAATGGCATGAAATCTAAAATAGTGCTGCCAGCATGTGTCTTTCCCTCTTTCTTGTGGTGGCTTCCTGGCAGGGTGTGCCTGCTGCAGCAGGGGCATTCCTTACAGTGGCACCAGCCAGGACCAAGCTGCCTGGCACAACTGCCCATGGAAAGGTGAACACTGTGTGCTGAAAGCCCCTTGGCAGCTTTCCCTTCTGCTGAAGGATGCCTGGTGCCCAGCAGTCCCAGGTGTGGGCCTGCCTGGTGCCCGGATTAGCCTTCAGAGGCCCGGGCTGAGGTGACTTCTGTCCTTTCCTGCCTCGCTTCACAGCTCTGAGCCGGTACAGGCAGGATGCATTGGCAGCTTTCTCTTTGTGACTTTCTGATTTTAAACGGTTGGATAAGGTGTACAGCAAGAAGTGTGTTGCAGTAAGTGGTATTGCCATGTATATTTATATAAAATATGAAGGATGTCTCAACCTGCAGGCTATTTGCTGTGCAAGGAAATGTGGTTTTTAAATGCTTCCCCTTCTGATGTCAGAGTTGTCTTGGGAATGGCTTTTAGGACTCGAATTAAAACAAGATACTGATCCAAAACTGTACATTGTGGAGAACATAATTGATAAGAACTGTATATTTAACACAGAGTGATTTGGGAACATTGAACAGTCTTGCTGTGTAACTTAGGAGCAGCTTCTAAGCCCTCTTGATATCTGAAAATGTGTAGAAGTATTACCTTTTTTGTTGTTTGTCCAGGGTAAAAATTGTCTGTGTTTTGGCAACTAAATAAATGTTTGAGTATTGCGCACCTAAACTCTTACACATTGCATCTGCTTTGCTAAAGGGCTAACAAAGAAGTCTGTTATGTACCGTGCAAGTTTTAGAAAACACCCATAGTGTGTATACACATATGCATTTACATCTATTTAAGTATATACATGTATAAAACCTTCTCTTCTTTGCACCAAGTTTGTGCATCTCCTTTGTGCAGCAGCTGGAACAGCTTCCAGAATGGCCTTTTACTTGAACACTCTTGGAGCCCCGAAACTGCTGTCGCTGCAGAGCTTTCCTCTGCGAGCTCAAAGCAGGAGATTGAGAAGTAAGCTCTCCTAAATAATGTGCCGGTGGTACTCTTGCTAAAATCCAGAATGGTTTGTCCCCCCATGGCTCATGTGAACTGGAATATCTGGTGCCCATCCCCTTGAAGGAGGTGTTGGCAAAAGCCTTGGCTTGCAAGGTGGGAGTACAGTAGGTGACCTTTGGATGGGTTCTCGTGCCATTTTAAACTAAGCCTTTTGTTAACATACTTGCCCTGTAGTTTAGCTCTTGCTGAGGCTCTGATACAGAAGGACTCGCGTTTTCCCTAAAGCAAATGCCATGGGTTTTAAGTGTTACAAACTTGTGAATGAACCACTCTCTCGTCCAGCCTAACAGCCCCTCTCTGGGCTGTTTGCAGGATCGTGCAGGCTCGGACTGCATTCCAGCAGTGCCATCTACTGTCGTGCTGGAGCACCCATTTCTGAGGGATGGCTGTCAGGCTCAACGCTGGAGTGCATTCCCTGCAGTTACTATCTTCACAGCGGGGAAAAAGCACTTGATAAGAGTGCAGGGTAAGCCCAGCTAAGCCATGTTTTTATCACAGAACCATGGAATCTGTTGGCTTGGAAGGGAACTATTGATTTGCTGTTGGCCCTGGTGTGGGTCTCTGTGATGGCACGTCCCTCCAGCCTTCCCCAGGCCTCCCTAACCTGTGTGTTGCAGTTTAGTAACGGGGCCATTTTGCTTTCCCTAATTAAACAAATTCCTTAACTTTAACTGGCTTGCTGTGTAGTTGCAACAGCCTCTACCTCTTCCAGCAGTTCCATTCATTGCATTGATACCACTTTTACAGGGGATTTGTGTATATTTGCTCCATCTAACCCTACTAGGTTAAACATAACATAGCTTCATGGATTTTTAAGCCCACACTCTTACCTCCTTTTATGGCCTCCTCTGATAACTGCAGGCCAATTAGCTTCATTAAATTCAGTGTGTGTCTGTATCTGTCACATTCATTCCTTCCAGTGTAAAAAACCTTTCAAACAGCTGAGGCTGCGAAATAACTGTCTAAAGGAGGAGGGGTTCAGAGGCTGGGGTGTTTTAATAGGACTTGGTTTACAAATAGGATTTCTGAGTAATCTTGGTGGTACAGATTACTGTCTCAATCCTGGCAGTAGCTCTGATGCCATCCTTCTGAAAGTAGACACATAAAAAATGTCACCTTTGCACAATAAATTCTAAAGCTAGCAATTCAGATTCTGTATGTATCTCAAATGTAAAGATTTTTACTGTAAGCTCAAAGACTGCTTGTAGTATACAGGAAAGAGCTACATTTTTGAATTCCTTTCCCAAGATTGTTGCTTCTTTTTTCTCACTAGCTGGATGGATTTTGCAAAGGTTTCAGTAGGTAAGAAGGACTGAGATACAATTGCAAGTTTTGATGGTGATGAGGAAGGTTATAAAATTCTGACTCATGCATCACCACAGTGATCTTGTTTGTAAATTTCAGAATTTCATAAGTTCTGAAATTACTCTCTATGGCTTAGGGAAATGTTGTGCTGTGTGCATGGAAAACTCCTGGACTCCCCAAAACTCCATGACTTGCTCAAACAAAGCCTTCTTGGCTGGGGTGGCAGCAATATGTAACCTATCCTCATTAAGTGTCTGTACTAATGAATGACTGACAGTGCACACATCTGATCCATCTGCCACATAAATGTTTAATTTTTCTTTTGCCAATCAGCCAGAGTCTGGCAGATGCTGCGCAGCAGAGAAAAAGCTGCAAGTGTGGTGTTGCATTACTCCTCAGGGAATTGGTGCTGAAGTAGGAGCATTTCTGAATCAGTCATGACACTGCCATACTCTTGAAGTTAATTTGGCTTAGACATCAAATATTACTCACTGGTCCCTTAAGGAATATTTGATTTCAGTTTGCTTCTCCAGTTGCTTTCTCTATCCTAGAGAAAAAAACAATAAAGGAAGAGTTTTTTTCTCACTTGTGTGTGCAGAAGAGTATTCTCACTTGTTCCTGCAGACTTGTACTCAGTGTCCATACCTTGCTGTGAGGCATTTGCTGAGCTGTTATCTAATGGCACTTATTTCCACAGTATGGCATTTTGATGGAAAACAGTGTGATCCTGTAGATAAGAGTGTCTTGCAGATGGAGATTTTCATTTCAGTTCTGCTACTGATCTTATATATGTCCTTCCCCAGCATCTCTGGTCCTTGTATTTTCTTGTCTTGTAGGTGTTAAGCTCCCTGGGACTGCCATCATACTGTGATGGTTCAGTGTGTAGCCTCAGGTTGTGCTATGATACAAATAATATTCTGATTAAAAATTGAGCCCTTGGCCTACACCAATGCTTGTTAAAGTGTCATGCACTTTATTGACAGAGATTTTTCTTTTGGTTTGATGATTAAGATAATACCACAGTGTGAGAAGAAACCTAATGGAAGCAGGAAATCAATCATATTCTAAAAAAAGTTGATTGCCAAAGCTGCCTGCTGAGATAAATTAATATTAATCTTACAGATAGTCTTTCATCTCTAAAAAGAAATTTGTCTTCCTTCTTGATTATTGTTTTTAGCCTTTTCTCCTAGTTTATTTTTAATTGGCAGTAGTGTCTTGCACCCTAATAAAGCAATCTCTAACACTGCCAAGTGAGGAGTGCATCTCTCTCGGAGAACACTGGGAACCCGCTCAACCGCAGTGGTAAATTCTGCTTTTAAAGAAGAAGGAAAGTGCCAAACTCCAGGGCCCAGTGGTTTAACTGCCTTCTCTCACTGGAAGTACCCTCGGCCCTTGGAGAATACACGTGGATGGAGGGGGTCTTGTGCTCTCTGAATTGCAAATAATAATAAAGTGTAAGGGTTTTGCGCAGGCCTTTCCATGCCGGAGCCAGTCAGAGCTGCGGCGGGGAGGGCAGTGCCGGCAGCGGCCGCTTCCCGACTCCTTTCCCTCGGTTTTCCCCTTGGTTTTCGCTCGGTTTTCCCCTTGGTTTTCCCTCGGTGTTCCCTTGGTTTTCCCTGGGTTTCCCCTTGGTTTTCGCTCGGCTCTCGCCCCCTCGGCGGGGCTGGGGGTCCCGCGCGGTCCGGCAGGGGGCGCACCCGCGGCCGCCGCCCGGCCCGAGCCCTCACGGCGGGCGCTGGGGATGGCGGCCGGGGATGGCGGCCGGGAGCGATCCGCGGC